TCAATTAGGTGTAGGAGTTTATATGAATGCATGTCTGAGGGGAACTTACTGTCTTTCGATGGCATTTTTTCTTTTCCTCTTGCCTCTGTATAAAGCATATTAAAGTTCATGCGCGGTTTTGTTTAGAGCGGAAACCAAGGAAACGCTTTAAGCGCCACCTGCTGGCAGAGAGTGAATCTGCATCTCATTCAGCTCGTCCGCGTTTTCATGCAGATAGTTTTTATGTATAGTTTCACAAAACTGAAGTCAAACCATTCTGTTTTTGCTTCAAATTTCGAAATTATACAATGTAATTTAGATTAAAAACTGTTCATGTTGCATGTATGCAGCATCTTTGTTTGGATCATGATTAAAGCGGTTACCTCGAATTTTAAATGGAAAGAGCACAGACACAGCCTTAGCTTGTTTATATGAAGAGATTTCTTTTTTAAATTTATTTATTGGTTTATTTAATAGGGACCATGCATATTCATGAACATTGTGGTATAAATATACACCATGTAAATATGCCAGAATTAGTAACAATAACTACTTTTCATCTGTAGTCCCTTTTATTTGTGTTACTTGTTTATTTGATTTGGGGCTTGTTTTAAAATTTCAATTTAGTTTTGTTATTTACATTATATTTAAATTTTGTTATTTAGCAAACGCTTTTATCCAAAGCGACTTACAAATGAGGACAATAGAAGCAATCAAAAGAGCAATAATTTACAAGTGCTATATTATTATAGTGTTATATTTCAATTTCACAAAGAAACGTACAGTATTTTGTCTAAGCAATAATAAAAGGACACATTTAATTTATAATTTGTCTTAAATCTAATTTTGTAAAAAATAAACCGTGAATCGAATCGTGAAATCAAAATCGTGAATCGAATCGTGAGTTGAGTGAATCATTACATCCTTACATATTACATATATAAAAATCTCATTAAAAAAAACAACTGAGGTATAAATATATACAATAAGTTCATATAATAAATTTAATATAGCACAAATGTTTATATAGATATATAAAATAGTAAAATGTTTTTATTAAGATTTTCTTGAATTATATTTTTATGTTATACATACATATTTTTTTATGTTATACATATATATATATATATATATATATTTATTTATTTATATATACATGTATGTGTGTGTGTGTAAAATTAGAAGTTAAACAATAGTATAGTATATAGATAAAATAGTGCTGTCAAACCGATTAATCGCATCCAAAAAAAGTCTGTTTACATAATATAGGTGTGTACTATGTATACACACACACACACGTATATAATTAAGAAATATTTACCTGTGTGTGTGTATTTTTTATTTACATATGATTTATATTATAAACATAAATATTACATATATTTCTTAATATAGTTTATAAGTTTATAATCTAGTAGGGCTGGGACGATAAATCGATGCAGAATCGATTCGTGGCTCGATTCTGAGATCTTCCAAATGCATCGCGATTCTCTCTGGAATCGATTCTGAGCTTAGATTTTAACAGCAGATGGCGCTCTAATCTAGTTTTTATCCGCACACTCAAATGCTCATGAAGAGGAGCGCTTTGTGTGTTCGGCTGAGTCTGTAATTTCACCTGGGCTCAGAATGCTTTTATGACGCCAGATTAATGTAAACACAGCCCACTGTCAACACCCTTGTAATTCGCTTCAACCTTTTCAAATTTTATGAATGATTATTTTAGGTTCAATGTGTGTAAGGATTTGGAAACAAGCAGAGTACGGCCGTTTATAAAGCGTGCAGCGCCATCTGCTGTTCAAAACCAAGCTCAGAATCGTCTCGAGAAAGAATCGCGATTCATTCGGCAAATCTCAGAAAATTCTCGATGCATCGATTTATTTTCCCAGCCCTATAATATAGGTTATAAAAATAGGTATAAGTTATATTATGAAACAGGTATAATAAATCAAATAAAAATAGAAAATAAAATAGGTATAAGTTTATATGTAAAAAAGACTAAATCAGCAAATGCTAGAAGGCAGATTCAAACTTTCACAACTATACAAGCTTGCAAAGACCTTTTTTAATCCATTTTTATCTTAGCATGGCAAAAAAAGTAGTTTGCAATAAGTTTTTCGTCACGCATGCATGAGCGTGCAGGGGATAAACGGCGAAGTGGGCCTTTTCTCATGCTCGTATGCGTATGTGTGTGTGTGTAAGAAACAGAGTTTATTTAATGAGCAAGATGTGGGACAACAGGGATTATCCGCCGCGTTGAGGGATTTGGGGAGGGAAAGACCGAGGTCTGTCCTGCTCACTCAAGCAGACTTAATAAATCTGCCCCGAACGCTCCACCCAAAACATCAGGTCGAGGGAAGACACACACACATTGGTGCGTGCACATTTCTGTGCCAACTCTCGCTTCTCTTTCCAGCCATTACTGCAACAATGGCTTTCAGAAGCGACTCCTTGAAAAGCCACAATCAATGGCGCCCTCCAATTCACAAATCCCCACTATTATGACATCACTCGTCTGGATCTGGATTCAACGAACAAAATGGAGGACAAAACACTATTAAACGTCATCGGACGCACAAAGAAGTCAAATACGGTTGCAGGTAGTTCATGCAACATTAAATGAACATAACAGCTGGATGCGTTTGGGGCTAAATCCGTAATCCCTGCTTTTAACTTTGTGCGTCAGGTCTTAATACTCCAATTAAGGAGCGTATGGGTTCGAAAATGTCACCAACATTGTAGGATGACCTTGAAAAAAAAAATGGTCGAGTGGGCTTGCTGGAATCAAAAGGCTGCATGTACAGCTACACCGAGGTGGACAATTGAAGTCATGAGGCGTTCAGGCTGCTCAGAGTAAACACCTTCTGTGTCAAGTCTGGCGAGAAGTCGTTGCTATGGAGTCACAGCACCGTGGCAAAAGAGTAGCGCCGACTACAAGCGGCCTCACATTTTCACATGCTCCCTGTCGGCCATTCATTATCAGACCGAAAAAGAGCCGTTCAGTTCACTACCTCAGCTCAAACACCTGAAAAATATGGTTTATATATTGCTGGATGAGATTTTTATCCAACAATTGGCCTAACGCATAGGAGTTTCAGATGTTCAAGTCAACGTGCCATCAAAATTGAACCTATTTATTTCCTAAGGACAAATTGAAGAGTGAAGTCAGACATACAAGAGTGTTCACAATTAAAATCGTTCTTTAAAATGAACTCTTAATATTAATATCGCTTTCATATGATTTTGAAAAACTTTTATACCATTTTCAAGGAAAGATTTTCAAGGATAATTTAAATGTCAGGTGGTTTAACTATCAAGTAAAATGCAATGGCATTTTTTATTAAATTTGTCAAGGTCAAAAGTATTTTTTACAAATATAAAAAGTATTAATTCATAAAATTAATTCATTCATTAATTCGCCGCCACATGACATTTTACAAACTAAACTAACCCTGCCTTGTCATTAAAAGGTCAAATTATGTTAATTTTATGTAATATTATGCCAAATTAGAGACTTATTTAAATAATAAATTGTGCAAAAATTTGATTCTTGAAAAAAAAAAACTTTTTTTCCCATCACAAAATTAGTTTGCGTTCATGCCCTGTAAAAAAAAAAAAATAAATAAAAAAAATAAAGATTTCCGATTCAGAAATAAAAGCATATTCATTTTAAAACGGGCGTATTCAAGTCATGGCATGCATGAATAGCATTTTACAAATTTTTTGAAAAAATGAATAGGACAAAAACACACATCATTGACCCACATGTTCCTGGTCTAATTGTGCACGATTAATCACTGCAAGTTAATCAGAATCAATTTTAAAAATGAGTTTTTCAACAAACAGCTCCACCTCCCAAACAACTTTCCTTTCTGTATGACATCACCAAGTCCACTTTACACAAGCCAATCAAACGCCACCCTACATTTCTGCTCACATAAAATCCAGTTTCACTCATAAATATGACATTTTAGACGCAAAATGAGTCGTGGATGGCATTTATGTTGATTTTATAAGGATGCGATCAAATGTTACAAAATAATTCTGTAAAGCAAACCAAATCATGTCGCTCAGTGGCATCTAATTCACTTCTATTTCCAGCCATACGCCTTTAATCAAGAGCGCCTAATCAAAATATCTGTCGTATTAGCTCATTAATCAGCAACAGCCTGCAAGAAACTTAACATGTGACGAGTTATTGCATTCAAACCAGTCTAGGAATACGACAAACCCACTTTTAATCACTTACAGCATTAGTGAGGCTGATTAGGAAGCGACTCGCTGTGTAACTCAATCCATAAACGAGTTCATGAGCAGTGATACAGACTCTCTGTACTTTGGCTAAAAGATCAAGGCAGTGCACAACACACACCTCTGATTCGCTGCAGGGAAAACATCTTGCACAATGCAAATGCATGTCATTACAGATTCACACCTTGGGTTTTTGGCAAAAGTCTTGCTGTTCTTACAAAAAAGGAAAGAAAAAAAGAAACCAGCTTGTGTTCTTCAAAAAGCGTGATTGTAGTGTTAGTTAACATCAGTGTTGGCACCCCATTGGCAAAATGATGAGAGTTCATTAGAAAAGATTAATGGAACCTGAAAGATGTCAACATACACACGAATTTGGCGCTTAAACCTCATAATTTCATGCCTGGTTGTAAACTACAGAGTAATAAGCACATATAAATGGTTAGTCAAATAACGCAAAAGAATTAGGAGGTTTGGGGACTGAAGTTGCATATATTAAAACACAATTCGCCAACTGTTAAATGTCACAGGCGCACAACATTTACATTGTTCCCATTTGCAAACACTGCCAAACCACACACGAGTGGATTTTAAGGTAAAAACGTGTAGTTTAGAAATATAAAAGGGTGATGTGATCAAATGAATGATAAATATTTAATCTTCGCGATAAGTTTCAGCATACACACAGTTGCACGGACGCCTCTCCTGCCTATGCTAAGCTCAAACCAGCTAACAACATCAACACAGCGCCAGCAAACCGCTCGATTTACACTCACCGAGTGCCTGGATTGTGGAAACATCATGTCAGTTTTGGTCTTCGGGGTCTTGCCTTCTCCTCCTCAAAGAACAGGGAAGCAGTTTGCTCAGCAGACGGTTATATTACTGTGTGTGTGTGTTCTTTGTTCCGTCGCTAGCTGAGGCTCCTGTACAGCTACAGGCAGCTCGCGCCGCTGCTATGGCAATAAAGCAGCCTGATGTGTGCCGCACTGAGCGCGCTCTTTAACACGCATTCGGCATGGAGAAATAATGATCCGTGGGTGATGGTTTGCTGGAATCTGTCGGATTGATATGGAGTCTGTCCTGTCCCTTTTCCACGTTGGGAATGAGCGCAGACAAGGGCTGGGGTCTCTCTCCTCCCTGGTTGGAGGAAATCGAGTGGTTGTGCAAGAGATGAAGTGGAGTTTGGGAGCTGATGGCTGCTGCTGCTGTTTTTTTCTGTATGCATGCAATTTTTTTGTATTATATATTAATATCAAATATAATTACACTAGTAATTAGTAATCCTTTTTCGTTTACATACATTTAGATAAATACCAACTTTGATACATTTTTAATAAACAACATCAAACCTGCACCAGCAAACAGTCAGAATATACTGTATATATATATATATATATATATATATATATATTAGAAATACAATTATATACAATTTTTAATTGCATATGAAAATATAAAATATTTTACATTTGTTCCTATTTATAGAAATCATTTTTTAGAAAACTTTTTAATTCCTACCAGTTTAATAACAGCACCAGCAAGCGGCTCTAATAAATATTCATATATTTGTATATATATTGTTTAATAACATTACCTATATATAAAATATTTGTATATATTAATTTGATTTTTAATATCTACAATTTTATATTTCATGTTTTAATGTACATAAATCTTATTTTTAATATGTAACTATCAAAACAGCACCAACAGCTCACATATTTTTTATAATTTTTTTAAAAAATCGACTTATTCATCCATCTATATATTCAAATGTTTAAAAAAGAAATGTAAATAATATCAGCATCAGCATCGATACAAATGGCTGAAATCTGATTGGATTATTCTGCTCCATTAGAAGATTTTTGAAATGCCTACTTCCCATTTCTGATGTTCAAATCAAACCTCAACATTAAAAATAGCATCTAATAAATATGCTGAAATGAGATTTAATGACATCTTTGTAGCTGAAGTTATGTTATATTAATACGATCTCTGTGCTGCACAAGAATAATTTCGTCATGTATTATTGAACTCTTTATGACGAGAGAAGATTATCATTACCAGTACCAGGACTCTTAATGTAGAACATGTTTTAGGAGGAGGACCATCTACCTTATTCATCGGTCTTGTAATAAAGGACATAAACAAAAGCTCAACACAGATGCAAACATATAGGAACAAATTTTATTCCAATTTCAAATGGATATTTTTTTCTTTAAAGGAGAAGGCTATGAAAGTCATTTTCATGTATGAATGAGGTTCAGGCAAAAGTGGTTGAAATGAAACATACAAAAAGAGAAATATGTCTAAAATACTGTAAATGAGCAATAATTAAGCCCCTTGTCAGCAGGGTTTCGCGTTAATACGGTTTCTCCTTTACCCGACCCTCTCCGCCTGAAAACAAACACATGCAATTAAAATGTCATTTCTTTTAAAAACAGCAGTTTGTCATCTTTAATCTTAAATACAGAATAAAATTGTCCTTTTCCTGTTGCGCATTTACCATAATCACATACTTAATGTTTATTTGTTTTTAAAAACCGGACCATAAAATACACAAGTCCTTTTTAAATGATTTCCACAACATTGGCACTTGTAAAGAGTCTGGCTCTACAAATCAAAGGGATTGGCACACTCAATATAGTACATCATTTACATTTGGTATGCTTAAAAAAATAAAATAAAATAAAGAGCAACCAACCGAACAAGAAATACATTACAAAGTAATACAATACTTTGATTTTATACACCACTACACAAAAGTTTATTTTAGCTGTTTTATCAAAAACAAATGTATTATATTAAAGTGTCCTACATACAAGTGTTTAGGTAATGCATCGACGTCAGAAATAAAAAAAGAAAGTAAAGACAGCTTCATATTGTATGCATCCATCACGTCAGTGTGGACCTCAAGCGAAAGCGTCATTTCTATTCATTAGTGTCTGCATCTCTCAGAGTACCAGGAACAATTTTGGAGGAACAGATATATCACATGAGTGGAGTTCGTTCCATTACTGCAGAGTAGGTTCAGTGCATTAACCCAGGGAGGAAAAACATACCAAACTTCATCACAAATTGTTGAGAACGACCAAAGAAAACCTTAAACACCAGCGGAACAGGATATTAAAGCTACTTATACCATCTGCACAATGTTTTGTGGACTTAATTGGTACGAAATGACTAGCTGTAGTGTTTCTGTTGGATAAAGAAAGGCGTTTCTCAGATTAGAACTAGCCCTTCGAAATGAAAGCCATAGTACGTACAAAAGCTTTAAACGTTCACGTGTTCAAAAATGCCGTCGTAAATTTGCAGGTCCACTACTTGTACAACAACGAAACGGTTTGAAATTGGTATATGGTGACTGATAGTACCATCCCACCCAAGTAAACGCAGTTTAAAATGAATGAAGTGTGAAGCCGCGCCCAGAAGAATGACGGTATGCAAATCTGGATGTTTGAGAAACTATAAAAAAAATTTATTAAAAAAAAAAAGCAGCTTAACTGGCCTGGCACGGGAGGATTGATTAGTTAAACAAGGAAAAAAGAAAAAAAGTTCGCAATTTGGCAAACAATTCGTAAAATGCACTAAAAGGTCCAAATGTATATGTAAAGAAGGCTTATAGGATTAATTAAACGCAACAAAACTGCAAATATACAGGGAAAATTGCGTATACACCTTCAAAACTACACTTCCAAAGTAATTCACAAAAGTAATCACAAAAAAAAGAATCCTCCTACAATACATTCAATTACTAGTTCAAAAAAAATAAGTCGCGCCAATAAGTGACCATTGTGATTCAAATATTTTGCTATATCATTACGTTAGATCTTGTGATTTTTTTCAAATTCTGCTACTCTCAAGCCATGTCGTTTCAATAATACGAACGAAGCCAATAAGACTGTACGAGTGCTAATGTGCGATAAATTCATAGCCAGTCGGCTGGGAGGAAAAAAAAGAAAAAAGACAAAAAGTGTACGATAAATGAGTAAACAGGACTCAAACGCAATTCCGTCATAGCCCCCGAAACCAAACATGGCAAAGGGAAACGTGTGACATAACCGCCACCGAATTCTTCCTTCCTAAACTTACAAAATCAAAACAGCCCATTCGAAGTCGTTTGATTTGCGGCAAGAAATAGCATACATTTTCCGAAGATCTCCGAAGGTGCTCCCTGGATGCACTGCAAGCTGAACCTACGGAAAACAGCAACTCCCGCGGTGTCACCCGCACTGTCCCTGATTCCTCTACGTACCTATTGCTCTATCGTCTTCATAGAGTCCTTTCATTCTCCGCCCACAATTAGCCCTTGTAATGAAAAGTATGAAAACTCACCTGAATTACATCATAAAGATCCCCCCTCCCCAAAAAAGCCAGCTAGCTATGGAGTCCAAAAAGCTCAATTAAGCGAGAACTAAGATATGGTACTACGAAACCAAGTGCGAACTCTCAAAAAACAACGCAAGCAGAGACCAGTTAAGAATTCAACCACTGATAAAATTCTCAATTTCCTATTTGCATAAAGCGATGTTGATCAAATGGAAATTCAACTCTCCATTTTCAAGCGTTTCAAATATTCGGGAAAACTAAAAATAACAGAACGGCGACAATCGATTTACGAAATACCAAAAAGAAAAGATCACTTGCCAATGGATTTTTTACAGCAGAAGAGACTCAAAAATTTAGTTGGAAAAATGAGTCAGACTAATTACATATCTGGTCCATAAATTACATAAATAAAACAAACTAAATGGATTTCACCCTATATAGCACTTTTGCGTCGAGTCTACGAACATTTAAATCACTGGATATTGAATGCTATACTGAGTAAAACATGAATGAATCGGCTAGGAAAGGCGTTTATTTGATTCCTTCGGTCAAAGATTCAAAACTGATGTGACGAAGCATGTAAACAAATCACAATCTTTCGGTAAATATCTTTGAATACTAGCTGGATCCCTTTAATTATACTGATTAAACACCCAATACTGGCAAACATCAGACTGGAGGAAACAGTTCGCTGCCTGAATGATAAATTTATAGTGGATACACAAGCGAACTGGGGTTTTTTTCGAAACAATTTCGGGAACGCAATTTGAAAAAAAAAAAACAACTGGTGGCTTTCATTACTCATTACGAAAAAGTCACATGGTGTGCCATCTCTTCTCCAGTAGTGATGGGAAATCTCTATACATCACTCCTAAAATAGTATTAAATCAAATCACCTCCACCTCTAGTGTTATAGCATGTGATTGCACAACTAACACCTGGTTAACTTCAGTGGTGCAAGGTGAAGTCCTTCAAGAATGTCGCCCACTCTTCGTTACGGACGGACGATCCACCGAGGGTTTCCGTTAAGTTCGTACCTCAGTTTCATTCAGGTAGAGCCCACTTACAGCCCATCTACAGAGCAAACGAATGCTCTTTGTCATTAGGCACCGATTTAACGGCCCAGCCTTCGTGTTTGAGGAAGATTGGATGATAAAGCTATCGGCTGGAGGGGTCGACACTCAGGAAGAGAGGAGAAAACAGGCAAAGAAAAGGACTATGTGAAGATCCAGTGCCTAAAGGGGGTGAAGGTGTGTTTCTGCGTGTGAGGTGTGTAGTGCTTTCGGCTGTGTGTGGGCTGCAGGTGTCTCGCTCTCGTTCGATCTCTCTCTCTCTCACACTAGGTTGTACTCTTTGAGGTTGTGCTGCAGGATGGTGTCCTTGACCGCCGCGAAGACGAAGCGGATATTTTCGGTGTCTGTGGCGCAGGTGAAGTGCGAGTAGATGATCTTGTCGCTGTCCGGGTTCAGGTCCACGAACATCTTCAGGATGAACTCGCGGCCCGCCTGGGCGTCCCTCTGCGGACCTGTCAGAGGGTAAATGAGAGTTTGGAGACCAAACAGGCTATGGAAGTGTATTTGGAAGTGGTTGCAGTTCACAAGTCTACCACATGGTGTCAGTGTAGGCTTCATTTGAAACTTGTGAAAAGGCTGTTACCGTCAAATTCAGGGAAGTAGTCCACCAGGTGAGAGTACATGATCTTCTCCTCCAGAAGGTCCTTCTTGTTCAGGAACAGAATGACTGAAGAGTTCTGGAACCAGGGGTAGGTGATGATTGTGCGAAACAGCGCTTTGCTTTCCTCCATGCGATTCTGCAGAAGTCAGAAACAAAAACACCACAATGAAAGGGGCGGCTCAGCTTCGACTGCACTGAAGACTAATGCAGATGACTGTTAAGCATCATTAACTGCGGTTAATGCAAGTCTAGCTGATGAACCTCAATGAATGATTTATGTATTTCCATATACAGTGGGTACGGAAAGTATTCAGACCCCCTTAAATTTGTTATATTATATTGCTCAATTATAATACACAATTTCCAAGCAAAATCTCTACAAGTAGACACCAATAATTAGAAATTAAATATTTACATTTATAAATGTAATATTTTTTACATATTATAAAATACATAAAATATCCAATACTAATAGTAGAAAATACATTTACATTACAAAAGTCTAAAATACAATAAACATTAAAAAAAACAATACATTAAAAATTGATAATAAATTAACAATTAAGAATGTATAAAAGTATATTATTTATTTGAATACATGTTATTTTAATATTAAATATTAATAAGAATTTTAAATTATATAAAACAAAAAATGATTATATACATGAATGAATTCTTATTTTGATATACATTTTAAAAAGTACATGAAATGACTAATACTACTAATATTATTACTAATAAATAAATACATTAAAATGTATAAATATAATTAAACATTAAAATAGTTTGTAAATGTACATTATATTAATTTTCATGTTTTATACATTATAAAAACTATGCAATAACAAAAAAAAAAATACACAAACTATAATGCTAAATTTAATTAAAATAATAAATACATTTAAAATAACAATAATAATCACCTCATTGTCAGATTCCACAAGGACCTGGTCGTATTCGCTCAAGGCAACCAGGAACATGATAGATGTGACGTTCTCAAAGCAGTGGATCCACTTCCTGCGCTCTGATCTTTGCCCTCCGACATCCACCATCCTGAGACAGAGGTGACAAAGTATGAGTACACATAAAAAGTCTGGTTTGATGATTATGACGACTATGAAAAAGGCTGTGCCAGTGTTGTGTATGGTATCCAATTGAGACCCTGAACTGAAATGACTTTAAATTCATCCTTAAAACTAAGCTATATCAACATTTGGCTTTTGAAAAAAAACAACAACAAAAAACAGGCCAATTCGGAAACAGATTTGCAACATTTTCATTGGAAATGGGCTACTAGATATCTCAAAGTAACAATATTCTCTGTTTATCAAATCAAATTAGATCTAGAGGCCACCAAAAATGAATGAGTACTTAAGGATGGAAACCACTTGTCATACAAAATTAGATGCATCTCAAAAATCACATGTCTGTTATCATTATATTAACATTTTGGCAGGAAAATCTTGGTTAAATTGCATTACATCTGGAATTCATTCTCACAAACATGCACAAATTAAGTCGTGACATTGTGTGGACTTGTGCGTTTCTAACGTGAACTGAACAAGACCAGCTCAAAACATGACAGCAGAGGTTAACTTAATACAGAGAATTACAGAAGAATCGAAACAGGACAATAAGCACGTAATTATGATTTCATCATGCCACTGGAGAGTTTGAGGTCAAGTATGGAGCCGGTCGTCTTCAGTTCTGGTAGTAAGATGGTGACATTGTAAGTGGTGAATTTCACAAAGGAAGCAAAACTAACACACAAACATTTATAGAGATGCCACAAACAAAAAGTGAACTGTAGAGTTTCAAATGCATGCTGGGATGAGTAACATCCAAGAAAAACGGACAGGGTGAATGAGCGAAGAAAAAGCGTGTTGGCACTGTATTAGTAAAGCCCTGAGACTGATGGAAAAACAGATACGCTACTGTAAGGTGTGTCGGGGGACAACTAACAACAACAAAAAATTTAATACATGCTTATTCACAAAGCAAATATTGAATATGAACTAAACAAAATACATTCCTGGGCCTTGGTATGTCATGAACAAAATTTAATAAGATTTTTGGCAAACCTCATCGAACAAAAAGTTTCTTCATCTAGGGGCTCTTCTGGCCTTATAGATTTTTAGAAACTTAACTTTTTAAATACTTTTCATACTAGTTTGACAAGTTCAGAAACATTATTCAATAGCAAATACATACATAAATCACTTGTTCTGCAAGTCATTCTCATTTCCACCACAATTTTGCATGAAATGGCTGACTCCTTTGTCTCTCTAAGTTGAATTTTATAGCTAGCACTTTACGTATGCTAAATGCATGCAATTAAATAAGATCCACACTTCTGCATCACTTTGACAATCGCCAGGTGGTGACACAAAATGACAAAAATATTATCCGATATTTAATGTGATTTTTAGTTTTTTTGACATGCATTAAGCCTCAAGAATATGTCATGTTTCATATTAAACAAGTAACACTTAAAGGGTTAGTTCACCCAGAAATGAAAATTCTGTCATTAATTACTCACCCTCGTGTCGTTTCAAACCCATAAGACCTTCGTTCATCTTCAGAACACAAATTAAGATATTTTTGATGGAATCTGAGAGCTGTCTGACCCTGCATAGACAGCAACACAACTGAAATGTTCCCAAGTCCAGAAACGTAGCAAGGAGATCTGTAAAAGAATCCATGTGACATCAGGGGTTCATCCACAATTATACGAAGCTACGAGAATACTTTTTGTGCGCAAAAGAACTGACTCTAATGACTTTATTCAACAATTCGTCTCCTCCGCATCACCCTGGTGCCATTTTGGAGAATATCAGCTGGACGTAAACAGCGTATGCTGTTCTGTGTCAGCTGCGTCACGCCGGATCGGTTTCCTACGTTATTGTGATTTGATCTGAACGAAAACAGTCAAAATGGCACCAGGGTGATGCGGAGGAGACGAATTGTTGAATAAAGTCATTAGAGTCAGTTCTTTTGCGCACAAAAAGTATTCTCGTAGCTTCGTATAATTGTGGATGAACCCCTGATGTCACATGGATTCTTTTACAGATCTCCTTGCTACGTTTCTGGACTTGGGAACATTTCAGTTGTGTTGCTGTCTATGCAGGGTCAGACAGCTCTCAGATTCCATCAAAAATATCTTCATTTGTGTTCCGAAGATGAACGAAGGTCTTATGGGTTTGAAACGACATGAGGGTGAGTAAATAATGACAGAATTTGCATTTTTGGGTGAACTAACCCTTTAACACTTGGTAAACAAGTACACTAACTTTTTATTTTAAAATAATTTTAAAATATTTTTTTATAAACTGATCATTATCACAATAAATATTACAAATACCTTATTATTTTTTTTATTTCTTTGTTGTTTACATTATCAGTTTTAAATATATCAATCTTCCTCTGTGGAGGAAAAAAAAAGTTTATAATACTATATAGATTTATATAGCTTTTTTATCCTATTATATAGCTTTATATAAGCTTTTTCTATATTTATAATATTTTATAATTAGTACATTTTTCTTTTAATTTAGTAAATGTTTTGGAAATGTTATAGCATGTTTGCCATTTTTATAAAAAAAATCAAGTTTACATCAAGTTAAAGGAAAATGAGAAATGTTAACTTGGCAACTAGCTGAAATCTTTTTTTTTTTTGGACATTTCAAGTAAAGAAACTATTTATTTTTTTTGTTTTCCCCTGCCTACAGTTGAAACACCTATATGTAACTATTTTACATTAAAGTGAGCCAAATAGTAAAGTTTCATGCTCGATATGCTGCATTAAACCAGGTAAATGTCCAAACTGTTTTTTGTTTCTTTTTCTGAAAGTGAACGTGCATTACAAGAATACAGGCCATTCCCAGCTAAACAGTCATGCAACGCTCACTGATTCTAAATTAATGGAAAAGTACTCTAACAAACTCACAGGAGATTCCAGCTAAAACAGAAGGGAATAATCAGAGCAATTCTCAACTGTGCCATTTCCCCCCCCCCATCACACCTGCACTTGGGTTCAGTGAGGGAAAACATAAGAGAAGGGTTTTATTTTATGTAGGCAACACAGTCTCGCTAGCTCAGTCTCTAGCGGCCAGGCGTAAAGCTTTGATAAATGGACTCCTTCAGGAGCTACAACCTAAAATAAAGCCTCTTCAGCCAGCCTCCGTTCCTGCAGGAAAGGCAAAAACAAAAATGCAAATCAAACGAAAAGGCAAAAAAAAAAAAGCGAAACAAATCAAAACCAAAAACAGAGAATTAAAAATTTGCTTTTTAAAATTTGATTGCTAAATACTGCTTAAAATATTTAAATGTATATATTTTGTATTCAAAACAAAACCAGAAACAATCTAAAACACAAAGTAATATCATTCTAATGCATAGAAACAGTGTTGCTATCACTTCTAAGAACTTGGTTCTGGTTAGAACATAAATGAATGCTTATGTCTCAAACCATCCTTCAATCCCCTGAATTTCGGACACATAAATAACAATAAAGACAAAAAAATGGATGAATGTTAATGAAGTTAATGATGCAAAGAGGTTAAGGACATTAACAGCCACTAACGTCACAGAAATGTACGAACCGAACCTTGTTCGTTCAACTGGCCGAAGTGGACCAGATCAACGCACTGATTCGCAAAATGTTACAAACATGAAGACATTAAAACTGGGGGAGGAATCCTCTCCGACATTATGATCTACCTGAAAATGATGCTTTGCAAAGAAGATGAACGAAGATCTTACGGGTTTGGAACGACATGAGGGTAATTAATGACAGAATTAAATTTTTTGGGTGAACTAACACTTTAAACTATAACTATATGAGAATATGGAAGTCCACACAACAGCTATAAAAAAATTAAAAAAACACGAAATAATGATTTTTTTTTTTTCAGCTGATGAATGATAAAAACACCGACAGCCAATCTTCTGTCCGACTTTTAAGGAGCCTGCGCATTAAGGAGCAGCAGACGACAAAACTGAAGCTTGCTTACAATAAACATTGGTGTGGATGCTAGTATTGTTAACGTTAATGTTATCTTTATAGATATGATTTGTAGTATGAAAAGGCCATAATACTGCATCTATACATCTATGACTTATTACAAATATGCTTCTAACTGACCACAAGAAAAGATGCAGCGTTCAACAATTCAATTAAAAGCAATAAAGTTAAAAGGAGCTAATGGCGGCACACACACTTACTATTTAGTGGAGTCAGAGAGCTGGTACTCTCGCCTGCGGTCGTAGGCTTCCTGGATGCCTGGATCTGACCAGAGCTTCTTTATTGCGCTGACATAGGGCTGGTCAAAGGAGCAAATCTTCTCCACGTCGACCTCTCGCACCAGCAGAGCATTGTTCTGTGGATAAAGAGACCGTACACAGTAAAAATCCCATTTTATGACTTAATGGCTGTGTAATACTAATGACTTACAGCGGGGTTTCGAACCAACTAGGTCACAAGTTGTCGAGTTAAACTTTAAGGATCTTTTTTAGGAAATATTAACTGATTCTTCAAAACCAAAACATGAGAATAATTAACCGTAATCCTGCACTGAAGAAAAGACAGCTTTTATATATAAATATATACATGTAAATATTTTCAAAATATATGCTGTATATGTGTGTCTTTATATATACACATAATAAATATACAGACGTATATAATATAAACAAAAACTTATTTTGGACGTGATTAATTGCGATTAATCGTTTCACAGCACTAGTATTTACATATACATAAATATACACAGTGCACACACATATATAATATAAACAAACTTATTTTGGGTGCGATTAATTGCGATTAATCGTTTCACAGCACTAGTATTTACATATACATAAATATACACAGTGCACACACATATATAATATAAACAAACTTATTTTGGGTGCGATTAATTGCGATTAATCGTTTGACAGCACTAATTAAAACAAGTATTTTCTATAAGCTGCTTTGAACCAATGTGTTGTGAAAAATTCTATATAAACTTATATATACACACACAGTATAATATACATATACTGTATAATAATATATAATTATATAATATATATATTAGGGATGCACCGAATATTCGGCAACCGAAATTATTCGGCCGAAAATAGCAAAAAAATCTCTTTCGGTGTTCGGACGAATAAGCGAAAAGGCCGAATAATATGAACCGAACAATGACGAATGCGATTAAAATAGAGGCACGCGCTAATGCAGCAAACATGTCAACAGTGTGAAAGTATTTAAAACTATCAGAGAAAGATGCAGAAATCATTACAAGAGTGAAGCACCGACAGCGAGAGACTTAGTGCTGCATCAAGTCTCCGATGAGAAAAGGGTGGCTAATGCTGGTTGTTAGGTTACTGTATGATGATTGAAATCCTGAAATTACCTGAAACGATTAGTAAATAAACTGCAGAATGTTATATTTTCTAATGCACACACGAATTGTATGTATTCTGACAGCGCTGCACAAGCTCGCGGCGCCAGGGTTCAAAATCCAAAGCGCGAGGAAAATCTGTGCTAAAACAGTTACTCATCAGTTGCTCCGTAACATTTTTGTGAATTTTTTTTTAAAGGCATTTGACAATGTGACACGTGCGACAAACATCTTCCCAAATTCGTAATGAGAATCATTTATAAATCTGCATGCTTTTTGTTAACAAAAAGCACTGAGATCTTCCTGCGGGTTTCTGCCAAAATAAAAGCCGAGAAAAAGCAACAACTCCATCGACATTCATAAATGATAGTATTGTAATTTTACTGTCGTTATGTAAAATAAAATAAAAAAATAAGACAATAATAATGATAATAATAATAATTACCCTACAACAGCTCTGTTAATACATTTATTATAACATTCACACATAGCGTTCAAATTGGGACCTGTAATATATTCTATTGTTTTAAAAGAAGTCTCTTCTGCTCAGCAAGGCTGCCTTTATTTGTACAGTAAAAAATACACGCCTGATTCAAGTCTCAAAAATGGCCAAAAAATATTATTTTACTAACTTATTTTAAGCTAAATTGTACTTTGTTGGTATAATGTCTGCTAGAATGTTAAAAAAAATGTTCAGTGTTAAGTAAATATTTTTTAATTGTTGTTTTGTAATTTATTTTTTTATTTGAAAAGCAGGACAAAACAGTAAAAAGCACATTTTGGCAATTTAGTTAATGCAATTTAGAAAAAAAAAAGGCAAAATAGGCCTACATGGGGGAAAAATGTGAAAACCCATGTTCGGTATTTGGCCTTCGGCCCAGTGTTTCATTTTGTTCGGCTTCGGCCTAGAATTTTCATTTCGGTGCATCCCTAATATATATAAACAAATATCCTAGTTTGAATACTAAATAAAAAACTAAAATATTTTACATGTACACACATTTAATATCAATATTCTTTTAAAATATAAAAGACAACACCACAGAACAGGTAAACTTCAATACTAACTAATTTGTACTAGACTGATTATCATTATTATTATTAAAATTACTAGGCAACACTGGTATCATCATTTAATGGGCCAAAATCTTAATTAAAAAAAAAAACTACATATGATAACTTATCACATATTAATCCTTACTGTTCTTATTTTGACAATTTTTTGGTACAATTGTTCTGCACTTAAAATTGATGGTGAAAATGTTTACTTTGTAATTAATAATCTTTGCATTATTTACAACTTTGACAAATAATTTTTACAGTTTTGTGCTGAAAAGCAGCACACTGTAATGTGTGACAGGTGCCAAAATATACCCCCCAAAAAATATATTGTACAGCAGTAAATTGAGTACTTTTTAATTTTTTTTGAGTAATTTTGTTTACAACAACCCTATATTGAAATGAATAAAAGTGTAGAAACCTTAAACAGAGAAGCCTTTTGCTTTTCTAAAAGGAAGGGATACAAACTTATATACGTTCAGGGTCTAATTGTGCCGTTAACCATATCAACGTTATGTAAACGAATACAGCAGCACTTTAATGAAGAAATCCTATAAAGGAACGTCTCTGTGCATTTCTTAGGTCCTGACGACTCAAGCCAGTAAAAATGTTTAAGCTATTGCCAAAGTTCAACAATTTGACTTCCCTGGAAACTTGGGAGGTCTTGGACCAGCAGGGGGAAAAACAAGTCGAGTAACTGTTCCAGTTTTCAAAATTTATCACGTTCTTGACAATACAGTGTCAACAGTTGGGAAAGTCGTGCTTGGATTGGTATGATAACCAGTCGTACAGGTTTAATCTTGGCGTACCTACAATTCCAGTATTGACATCCTTGACAACTGCCATTTATTTAAATAAACAAAAGAGACTAAATTCAAAACCATGAACACAGGCCTATAAATGGTGAATGGCTAGATAAGAACCCACCTTTCAGGTAAGGTAATTTTGTGAATTTGTAATTGAAAACGCCACAATCGTTTGGGCTTCATCAAATTCCATGAGACACAAACACAAGCTATTTTAAATTACATTAGTCTAGAAGTCATGGCCACGTGGTTCGTTCACACGCTCAACTTACGAGCTCATACGGGAGATGCAGGTTCGATTTCCCATCGTTTTCCTGTCCCATGATCTCTCCCTGAGCTGAGTCATGGCTAGTTTTAACTCCAACAGCTGGATTGTCAAGTTCCAGTCTCCCTGCTGACTCTCTGCTCGCTGTCTTCCTCTCCGTCTGTCTATCTCTCTGTACTGACGGTGGTTTTCGGACAGGGGAAACCCAATAAACAGCCTGGTTGCATAACCACTGCTTTCCTGGCTCCTTCGGCTTGCCAAATAGCTGCACCTCCCTGCAGCTTTACAACAATTGCGCCACAGAAACCCGAACCAAAACCGTTTGAAAATTACTGGAGCACCTTGATATCAGGTTTTCCTCCATATTTGGTCATTTTGTGAGAATCAAACACACAAATTTTTGATTGATGACAATATAAAGGCCTTAAGAGGAAACTGGAGATCTGGTAGTGAAATATATGCATGCACAAAACAAATAGCGGGACGAATTTAACAGTGCACTGAAATAATAGAAAGGTATTTGTCTTAGTGGCTGCAAATTGCTGTTTGCAACCTGATTTTATTTCCGTAATCGGATGCATTTACGCGAAACGGGACAGGCAATAAGAGGAAACAAAAATAATTCCCTAATTTTATCAATCAAGAATTGACTGGGTGACAGGCTGTTAAATACCAAAATAGCACCAGACCAAATCAGAATTTGCTCAAAACAATACCTAGAAAACTATCTGATCATTATCTCACATTAGCTATTAACCAAACCATTAGCCAACTGGCATTAGCTGGGAGAAAATACCTAAATAAATACATTTATATTAACAAATAAATGAATTTTTTACGTACACTACCAATCAAACGTTTGGGTCACTAAGACTCTTTTTAAAGAAATTAATACTTTTATTCAGCAAGGATGAATTAAATAGATAAAAAATTACAGTAAATACTTATATATATAAAAAAAAAAAAATCTTTAAAAAAGACGTTCTGAATTTTCTATTCATATTAGTTAAGAATTCTGAAAATTCCAAAAAAATCCAAAAATATTAAGCAGCACAACTGTTTTTAACATTAAGAATAATAATAACAAATGTTTCTTGAGCAGTAGGCCTAAACAAGCATTTTAGAATGATTTCTGAAAGATCATGTGACACTGATGCTGAAAATTCAGCTTTGCATCACAAGAATAAATTACATTTTTCAATATATTAAAA